AAAATATAAAATACAAGAATTAATCCGAGTCCACAGAAACTACTGTGTGTCCTTAAGAAATTTAATCCTCTCACTGTACCCAAGGTTATGGATTAATTTCTCCCAAGATAAAACGGATTAAACCTAATAAAGAAATAGTGGTACCTCAAACTTCTTTAACTTCAACGAACTTAAGAACAACAACAAGTCACACAGACTCAGTCGATCGACACTTTAATTTTTTATTTGAGAGAAAATAAATGCAGAGAAAGAAAAAAATTTCAATGTTTTAAAAGTCGAAAATTGACTTCCTTTTATATCCATTTTCAGCAAGAAACTTGTCTGTTCAGAGAAATATGTTCAGACCCGTTTATTTCAGAAAGTTGTGTCTTTTGGAAAAATAACAACTTTTCAAAAAAATGTGTTTGTTAGGAAAATAACTACTTTTTGAAAAGTAATGACTTTTCGGAAAAGTAATGACTTTTCGAAATGTTATCGTTACCCGCAAATTTATAAGAGATAATATTAACAGGATTTATTTGATTTAACAAAAACTGATTAAATAAATTTTGTCCAAAAAATTTATCAATCAACCATTTGCCAAATCTAAATTCAAGCCGAGCGAGCGACGACGACGCGAGGGGCCATCTTCTTCTTAGCTCTTTAAGAAGTAATGGAAGTGTTTCCTTCCATAAGGACAGCATTTTCCATTTCTTTTGCCGATATGGGAGAAATGACTTTTCATTTGCACTTTGCAAATGACTTTTCATTTTCCCTCCAAAGTAGTTCCCTCACTTTTCATATTCTCTCTTTTCTTTTCCCATTCACACTTGCTAAAACTCAACATAACTTCATACAGATTTGAATCTTAGTTAGAGAAAATCTACATAGAAATGGTGAAGCAAAACTTACAATTCAATAACTACTCTTTAATCAACCGTCCTTGAACATGTAACACCATACCATGGAGGTAAATCATTATCTCCACAAGGATCATCTCCAACCCATGCATACACCACTCTCCATCCAAGAGATGCCTTAATTTCATTCAGAGCTTTCACTACAGTCATATTCTAGATGTTCAAATTAGTCCATGTAAAGATATACATTCATGTACTACGACAACTCCTTGGTTTTCTCATTAATGCAATCAATGGCCATACACTGTTTAAATCATTTAATGAAATATCAATAGAGAAAGAGTGGATATAATTGGAACTCCACAACGTTTCCAAAAATACTAAGTCAGTTACCTGATGACGCTTTAGTACATATACTATATTTTCTTACTATTGAAGAAGCATCTAACACAAGTGTCCTCTCAAGGCGATGGCTATGATTGGGGAACATTTATCGACTTGATTTTGATGCTACCATACCCTTGGATAAAGTAACCTTACCCCCAACCTACAGAAAAGGCAATGAAGAAGTATCTTAGGTGGGTTAGTTGTACTTTGCAAATGTGTAAAGTGCAGAGACTAGACCAATTTCGGGTTTGTTTTGATTTGTACAAATCCATGCAGCATGAGATTGATAAATGTATTAAATTTGTGTTTTCTAGGAATGTTCAAAGACTAGAGTTAGACTTATCAAAGGGTGATGAATTGATGATCCATAATTCTGCTAATTGTTGTACTTTTATAGCATGTCTTCTTGGTCTTGGTGATTCTCCTGACTCTTTTTCTTGCATACCTCATTCTAATGACCTCCAAATACTCTCACTTGTCGAGCTGAACTTCAAGTCTCTAAAAGTGCTCCTGTTTAAATCAGTAAATGTCACGGGTAAAGCTTTTCACTACAGTCTCATTTCAAGTTCACAAAATAATAGAGAAACATATATTCAAAATTTGTTTAATGTGCAACTGCATAACTCATTCGGCACCCTCAAAACACATAATGAAAGCATGAATACGATTTCAACTATATACGAACAGAATAATATCAAGATGAACCAGTGAAACAAGATAAAACACGAGGCATGCATGGTGACCATGAATTATGAAGACAACAAACAGAGAAATAATTTCAAAATACACACTAAGTGATATTAGAAACGAAACCTACACTTCCAATCTCAATGAAAATAAGATTAAGATTAGAATGGAAGTTAGACTTAAATATATCACGCAGGAAAATCTTAGAACCAATCAAAGAACAAATTATTATCAAACATTTAGTGCAAACTAAATCAATAAAAGAGCTAAGAGTTCTTTACCTCGTTATGAGCAGCGACTGAGACAATGACTAGCTGAAATAAGCTATTCCACCACAACCAAATTCACCAGTGACCTCGAACTCAAATGAACATTGACTAGTGATGGATGGAAAGAGAGAAACTAACACCATGGAAATGATGTACAGGTTCTTCGCACCAGTGTTATCGGTGCAGTTCACCGTCACCGCCACCGGCTGACCCAGTGACATGTTGAACCTGTTCCCGGCGGATGCGTCCTCGTTTCGACATCCCGTTCTTCACGATCCCAAAAAATCTGAAGCCTATAGTCGAGATGGAGAGAGACGATGGAAGTGAAGGAAGAAGTGCAATGAATCGTCACTTTGGGAAGTTCCCTCAACAATGATATTTTCCTAATATCCAATGAAAGAAAGATTGACATTTTTAGGATAATTTTTGTAACTTTTTTTATTTTATTTTATTTTAGCTCTAGTTTTAGTTTGTCTTTTTCTTAGCTTTTGGGTCCATCATGCAAATCTTTCTTATTTTTTCACTTAATCTACAAATTGTTTATGGTGAATGTTTGATTTATTTTTTTGAAAAAATGCTTACCAACTAATTGGTAGAATAGATAGAACCATGTTTTTATTTACATAAAAAAAAATAGCTAAAGGTTTTAGAAAGTATATACCAATTTAAATTGGACATAATTAAATATTGAAAACTTAAGTACTACTGAACAGATTTTTTTGATATTTTCATATTTGGGATGATATTCAGAAGTAAAAATTTCGAATTACGATATTTGTGTCTTGTATAAGACACTAGTATTCGATATATCAACAGTTTCATAACTCATCAGAACAAGTTCAAAGAGAAAGTTAAATGCTACATAAGCAACTCAAATATATATATCTTTTAGTTATATAATGTTAAATTGAAATAAATTTGCATTTATAATTCTTTTAAATTATATATTGTAATTTTAAATTAGCTTAATATTCTACATCAACCCTCCTGTAAAATCAAAATGATCTAGGGTGTGTTTGGTATAAAGGAAAATATTTTTCCGGAAAAAACAAGTAGATCTATAACTTATTTTCTCATGTTTGGTTAGTGAATAGAAAATATTTTTAGAAAATAATTTTTGTGTTAGATTTATAAATGAATTTTTTTTTTGAGAAATATCTTCTATTTTTACAAGAGTATTAGAAAATAATTTTTGAAATTGAAAATAATTTTAAAACAAATTACTTTTTTTGTGTGGGGGTGGGGGTGGAGGGGGAGGGGTAAGTGATGAAAAATAAAAATTGGAAATTGAAAATATTTTTCAAAAATAAAATTAATTCTTGCGGTGGGGTGGGGGGCTGGTAGGGGGTGGTAAGGGTGAAATAACAAAAAATTGAAGTTGATTTTTTTTTTTAAAAAATGAATATTTATTTTGGGAGGTGGGGATGGGTGTTGGGACGGGGGGTCGAGGTAGGGGTAAAAAAATAAAAATTTAAAGTCAAAAATATTTTTTAAAAACAAAATCTATTTTTTTTGAGGCGGGGGGGGGGAGAGGGGGTGCTGGGGTGGGTAGTGTTGGGTGGGGGTCCGATATTGGGGTGAACAATTAAAATTTGAAACTAAAAGTTTTTTTAAAAAAACAAGTTCAATTTTTTTTTTTGGATGGGGGTGGAGGGATTATCAAGGTCGCGAGGAGTGATAATATAAAATTTTGAAATTGAAAATATTTTTTAGAAATTAATATTTTTTTAAAAAAATAAATGTAATTTGAAATGTTTTCGTGAAAATAACAAGTAGATTTATAACTTATTTTATCATGTTTGGTTTGTCAATATAAAATATTTTTAGGAAATAATTTTATTGTTTGATTTATGAATGAAAACTATTTTTGATAAATATCTTTTATTTTTACAAGAGTACTAGAAAATAATTTTTGAAATTGAAAAAAAAATTAAAACAAATTATTTTTTTTGTGGGGGGGGGGGGGGGGGTGGTGAGCGGGGGATGAGGGCTGGTAAGGGGGCTGTTAGGGTTGGGGTAGGGGTGAAAAAATAAAAATTTCAAGTTGAAAATATTTTTTGAAAATTAAATTAATATTTTTTGGGTGGGTTGGGGGGTTGGTAGGGATGAAATAACAAAAAATTGAAGTTGAAAATATTTTTTTAAAGCAAAAGGAAAAATTATTTTGGGAGGTGAAGCGGGGGTGGTGTTGGGGGCGGGGGTCTAGGTAGGGGAGATAAATAAGAATTTGAAAGTCAAAAATACTTTTTAAAAATAAAATCTTTTTTTTTTGCGGCGGGGTGGGGGGGGGGAGGTTGTTGGGTTGGGTAGTGTGGGGAGGGGGCCCGGGATCGGGGTGAAAAAATAAAGTTTTGAAACTAATTTTTTTTTAAAAAAAAACAAGTTTAATTTTTTTATTGGAGGGGGTGGAGGGATGATCGAGGTCGGGAGGAGGGCGAAGTGAAAAATATAAAATTTTGAAATTTTAAATATTTTTTAGAAATTGATATTTTTCAAAAGATAAATGTAAATTGAAGTTGGATGAAAACTTTGAAAAATGTTCTCTTCACCTTTTGAAAATCATTTCCTTAATTTTGAGGAAAATTAGTTGATTAGGATAACATTTTTCAAAACTTTTATCTCAATCAAACATGATATAATTTTAAAAATATCTTAAAGTACAAATTTTGTCAAACAAATATGATAAAACTTTTCATGTCTATGCATAAAAAATATTCCTGGAAGCTTTAAGATATAATTTTGTTATTAAAATTAGAGTTAGATTAATGGTATTCTTTTTATTATTATATCTTCTTCAAAAATATATATATATATAAAACTATTTTCATTTTTGAATACAGTGTTTGTGTATGTGATTCTAATAGTAGTTGGTTTGTTTGTTTTTATATATAATCACATATATGACAAAATATTTGTTCTCCAAAAGATTCCTTCATTAAGAATATAACAATAAAAATATATCAAATTAAACATATAAAGGGAAAAAGAAATATAATTACCCACTACAATGGAATCGCTCTTCTTCAATTGGACGGTCAAAACTTAAAAGGTATTTACTACAAACTTCTTTTGATTATATAAGATTAAAATATTGAAATATTTTTCCTTTATTTAATTATAAGCATTTAAAACTCTTTTCTTTGTTATTATCTTATAATCAAAATTAAGTCAACTAATAGTGTCTTTCTGTAAGCTTATATATGTAAACCATTCTAAATTATAATTTTACTCATGTATTTATTAATATGAGTAAGAATATATATATATTTTTAAATTTTGATCGAAATTTATATTATTGAACTCTTAAGAAAAAGTGAATTAAAAAGAGAGAAAGATTTTAAAAAAGTGAAAAATTAGATAATAGGCATAGTACAATAGAAATATGATATGACCTCGTTACAAATTTATCCAAGATATAATCTGAATTAATGAATAAAATCTCCATGTACTTATGCATACAAATTCAATATTTTCTCAAATTAGTTTGATAACTTCGCATATCATCTATTTTATAATTACTTAAGTTCATAGCTTAGAGTTTTTAAAATTTGCAATTCCAAACTACTCTAATTTTTAAATTTAAACGTAGATATTTTAACATTAAAAAATATTTGTTAATATAACCCATATGTTATGTAAAAAAATGATAGATTACAAAGTAAAAGGAAAAAGTTTAATTGAACTTTATAAATATATTATATTTATCCTACTAATTTATATTTCGTAAAATTTAAAAGGGTTATAAATGAATTAATGAAGAACAATGTCACGAAGTTTTGTTCAGTAAGAAAACTTTTTAGCCCAAAGTAATGTATCCCATCTCTAATTGCTTTCATAATTTTCTTGTCTGCTTCCTCTTAACTTTTCTAAAAATCATAATTTTAAAATCCTCATACTATTTCAACATTTATATGAACTGCACAATTTAATCAATTCAAATAATAGGAGAAAATTCTTAGACATTCTTCGTATAATTTGTAAGTATATGCATTTCTCAATTAAACAAATTTTTATTATACTAATGAAGAATGGACAATTAGATCATTTCAACGATGAAAATATTAAAATAAATACAATAATGATAATTCACAAGGAGACTATAATTAGTTGAAACTTGGAAGCCATATATTAACAAATAATTGATACATATACTATATCAAAAAAGGATCAAAATTCACATGTTCTTTCCTCATTAGGAATTGTTAGTGAAAAACTTACAAGATAATAAAATTGCAAGATTACAATTGAAAATAGAAATGAAGAAATTAATCTCTTCAGGCTGAGGCGCGGATATCTCGCTCTCTTTAAGGAGATTCAAGTCCACTGCAGCAAATGTTTTCACCGATCCAGCAATAGTCCTCTTTGACTTGTCCCCTCCAGGATACAACAGCCTTTACAAAGTATAACTCAACAACTCTACACAAGAATTGAGTTCAAAGCTCCACAAAAAAGAACACCTCCCTTCAACTAATAAGAACTCTCTTTTAGACTAACTCTTTCACTCTTTGTTTTCTCTTGTGTTTTGTGTGTCTCTAAAACCAAATGAAAACTAGCACTATTTATACTACAAGAAGTCTTCCTAGCAATGAATAGGAAGATAATGGAGGTAGTAAATAGTGAAGATAATGGTCTTAGTAGTTTCATAGGTTACAATGGGAGTTACATATGTTACATAGGTTACAATGGGAGTTACATAGGTTACAAAAGTTACAATGGGAGTTACATAGGTTACAAAGAGTAATAGAGGAATTAAGAATGAAATACATTGATGGATAACCAATGCTAATGGATGATGTAGAAGTCATCCATTCCAATGTTCATTCTTATAACTCCAAAATAAAGCAATTTAATATGTTAAATATTTGTATTAAAATGCTAATAACCTAACAATCCCCCACTCATTTTAATATTTAGATAAAAGAGTGTACCAGTTGAAGGAAGACTACTATGCATAATGAAGGTGTGCTCTGCATTGAACCTCCACTTAGTGAAACAGTAACTTTTACTCTAGAGTCGTAATGGTCTCAGACTTGAACTATGACTGCTTAAGGGAAATAAAATATCACTGCTCACACATAATAATCAAGGTGTTGACATGAGCTTTAACAGCCAGCACGTATGGCCATGTGTTATCCCGGTTTCATGAGTGCATTTGAGAATAAGCCCCATTATCATAGGAAGCGACCTACTTCCACACATCACATAGGTGAAATCTGTCGAGAGTGCTCCTGTAAGATTAACACTCCACCCATACGGGCTACAGATATTCATTAAGAGTTTTATTAACTCAACCTTCACAAACTACAGGAAATAATGCACTCACATCATAGGGAGGAAAAAAATAGTGCATTTTTCACAACAAGTCAACATATGATTAGTTTTTCCCTTTGAACCTGGTTATAGGATCTCTAGTCCCCGGTTGGGTTTCCTCATATATGACTCAAGGATTTGTAGGCTTCAATCCCATCCCCCTCGATGTGCTCCAGACCTTTTCTCTTGTTAAGTCCTTCGTAAGAGGATCTGCAAGATTATCACAAGATTTGACATAATCAACATTTATGGTACCATTTGTTAAATACGATCTTACATTACTGTGTTTCCTCCTTATAGGTCTGGATTTACCGTTGTAATAACGGTTCTGAACTCTACCAATTGCAGCGGTGCTATCACAATGAATTAAAATAGGAGGAATTGATTTTTCAAAATAAGGAATTTGAAACAATAAATCTCTTAACCAATTCGCTTCCTCACTAGCTGTAGCTAAAGCAATTAGTTCAGCCTCCATGGTAGAGTTAACAATTATAGTTTGCTTTTTTGATCTCCAACAAACAGCACCACCACCTAAAGTAAAGAC